ATAATATAATTCACATTATATATGAAGAAATATTTCCCTTTGGCAAGCCATTCCCTTTTCCATTTTTACCGAGGACTCCATCATAAACAATTTTTTTCCATCTCTCTGCTACTGTTTTCATTATCTTTATCTTTCTTATGCCCTTTTTTTAGTATAAGAAATGGGAATAAAAAGCTCCTCCCTCCAGTCACATAATTTGCCCTTGCAAGAACTAGATCCTTGAATAATAAAGTAGATACTGAAATAAAACAAAATTCAAACCATGCTCAGTCAAGAGTCCATCCTATCAAGATCAGTAAGTTTACTTTGAAGAAAATAATATTTCATTCTGCAATCTGTCTTTTATTCTACAGTTATCTCTTCAACAATCTGCAGCATCCTTGGCTCTCCACGTGTCCATAAAATCCCAACAGAAATCATTAAGAGGAAACTTTTCCATGGTCATTTTTTCATATTGGAAAATGTGGGCAACCAGGGAAGCTTCAGAATTTAACAGAACACAGGATTGCAATAGCAGCTTTTCTCCCCTCCAAGAGCCAAGTCAGTTTCAGTGCTCCACTAAGAGAAATTCAAAAGAAATTCTCAACCATCCTGAGAATAAGATAAAATAAGAGAAGCCTGTTTCAGGGGGGAGGTAGAAATTGGACATCAGATTTCAGCAAGGCATTAGAAAGCATGCTTCAAAGGGTTAAACAAAACTGCACAGGGTTCTTTTAAGGTGGGTATGACACATTGCATGACATAAAAGAGGGGTGGGGCTTTGATCACACAGTGGTAGCCACCATCTTGACTTTTTTGACCCCCACACCACTTTTTAAAGACCCAAACTATTCCATTTCTCATCCACGCCGTAGGAATCCAACATTATGGAACTGTCAAAAGGTGAAGCCCAACTTTTGATTTAAAATAGAAGGAAAAAGACAATAGTTTGACATTTGAGAGCCACTGAACTGGCCAATTATTTTACTGCCTGCAGAGGAGAGACACACTGGATTCAGTCACTTAAACTCTTTGAGAACCAAAGAATAACAGAATGCTAGGAGAACCTACGGTGTCTCAGATACCACATGGAAAGACATAATGAGGAAGGTTACAAGAGGAAGAAAAATATAAGAAAAAATAGAAAACTGGGATCAAACGTTTGGCTTAAGAGGGATAACACCATCATCAGGCCTCCAGGAGGAGGAGTTTCCACCATCCCCAACTTCACAGGGCATCAGGCGTGCAACCCAACTCCATAGTGGGCAGGGCAACTGTGTTGGGCAACTCTGCCACAAAGTTTTTTGGCAGCATATGAAATGTTTGTTTCGGTTTTTTGGGGGGGGGGGTCCATTAATTCCACAGTGGTGTGCAATTTGGGTAGTTTCAGGGAAGAGCTGAAGTGGGAACATTAAGACTTGACCCCAGAAATTGAAATCTCGGAATTCTCAGTGGGTAATTCTCTTTGCCATATCTGGGGGTGGCAGCATTTTAAAACAGCTTCTGGAAGCAAGAAATGTCCCTGCCAGAAAACCATTTAATCAGAGAACCGCAAGGGACTATCTAGTCCACTCTTTTGCTTGGTACAGGATCCACTAAAGCCTTGTCAACTTTAAGATGTGTTTGTGGTCTTCAACTCCCAGAATTCCCCAGTCAGCATGGCTGGCTGGGGAATTCTGGAAGATGAAGTCCACACATCTTAAAGTTGCTGAGGTTGAAAAACCCGGCACTAAAGCATTCCAGAGAGGCAGGTCTCCAGCCAGTGTTTGAAGACCTCTAGTGAAGGGGAACAAACCATTTCATGAGGCATCTAATCCCTTGGTGAATGGTGCTGACTCCTCCTAATTCCTAATCTGAATCTACTTTCCTACAATGAGGGAGTGGATTTACAATGAGGCCATGAACTCTCCTCTTTTTATCTCTGTGTATTGCTTTCTCCATTCTCCGTCTCTAACCGTTCCAGTCGGCTCCCTTCACCCCTGCCTTTTGCTTTGTCCTTATTTTGCTTTGCTAACTTGAGTTCACTTTCCCCCTCCCTTCCTCCAGTCAGGGGTGTTTCTTTCTCAGCCTGCAAACATTTCCTGTCTCAGACTTACGACTGAGAGAGAGAAATTTCTAATTACGTGGACTTGCTGAGATTTGAGCAAAGGCTGAACCAGCGGCCTCTATGCAGGAGTCAAATTATCATTTTCAGGAAAGCAGAGGGAACCTGCAGAGGCTCATGCAAGGGTACACAGGGGAGGTCAAAAAAGTCAAGATGGTAGCTGTGATGGCAGGATTGAGGCCCTGCCTCCTTGGTAGAGGGGGAGCAAATGTGCAAAGTGGGCTTCAGTCACAGAGCCACAATTGCCATTTGTCACACATACACACCCCGTGGATGCTACTGGACTGTACCCGAATAAAAATAACCCTCTTCAGCCAGGATAGAAAACACAAAAGCACTGAGTCTCTTTTAAATGATGCAAATGTGATACAAGTGAGTAGCACAATACTTGTAGATTATATTTAAAACATAATTTTCAAAACTAAGGTTAATGGTAGCTTAAAACTTAAACAAAAGCTTGTTAAAACCTACTCTAACCTAGCAATTCTGAAGCAGAATGTCTGCTGAAGTGACACTATATCTCTGGACATGCCGAGGCATCCGCAGGGGCTCAAAAGCATCAAAATGGCATGAATGACCAACAATTAACCCTTTTTAGCATGTCTCGCGGGCATCCTACATGCATAAAAAGGGGGAGGGCTTTGATCATCTGGTCGCGTTGCTGTTTTACCCCAGATGACCCTGCACGCACACCCAGATGTTTCTGGCGCTATCTGGCCAGTGCATTTGGACAGACAAGCACAGCTAGGAAATACCAGCCCAGAGAAGCTGGATAGATGGAGTATGATTGTTCTTTCAGATTATTTGATATGAATGGCCCAGCTCTTGCTATTCTGGCTTCAAAGATTTGCTTGTAGAAGAATGCATTAACTAATTAACTGCCAACAAAGGGCTCTTCCTCACAGCTGTGCCTTCTTACAGTCTTTGAGTTGACAGAAAAGGAAGTTGATATAACCTGGGCTGCCCCAATGACCAACCCCTACTAGGGCTCTCCTTACATTTCTAATGTGAGATAATTAAAGTGTAGCAACTGGTGGATTCCACTGATGTTTTCCCCCGTCTGCCCAGTATCACTTGTTGGCAGCAAAAACAACCATCAATCTCTATCTTTTCTATGTCCTAAGGCAGGCTTTTTTGGGGGGTGCCTTCAAGTCAGTGTTGACTCCTGGTGACTGCCTGGACAAGTCTCTGCAGCTTTCTTGGCGAGGCTTTTGGGCAGTGGTTAGCCCTTGCCTGCTTCTTCCTAGGGCTGGGAGAGGGTGACTGGCCCAGAGTCACCCACCCGGCTTTCATGCCTAAGGTGGGACTAGAACTCACAGTCTCCCGGTTTCTAGCCTGGGGCCTTACCACTACACCAAACTGGCTGTAATGATTACTTTATTTATT